GCAGCAGCTCCCCCGGGAAGCCCCGTGCTCGGGGTTGGTGTGACAACCCTCCCCCGGGCCCTCCTGGGTGACGCACAGGGCTGCAAACAGGCGCTGGGAGCTCCCGTGCCCGCTGCCATTGCAGAGCAAGAGGAGCCCCGCGGGCTGCACTGCCCAGCATGGGGGGAGACCCTTCCTCACCCTTGGGTGGCACCTCGGAGCTTGGGACAGCAGCAGAGATGCTGCCCAGCAGCTCTTCTTACTGTGGATTAATGGAAAATGCCCATTTCTACACATGCTTCTGCTCCAGGCCCTCAGGACTTGGCAAGGAGCAACGCTCAGAGCTATTAGTCCTGGCACACAGCTCCCGCAGAACAGAAACATTTACACTTGAAGTCGCCTTCCCTAGTGAGAGGTCGAGTTGCTCTGGATCATAAGGAGCCGTACCGCTGCCAGCGCTCGGATATTCCTGATTAACTCACAATTAACAGCCACATCCTCAGGCTGGAGCAAGTTCAACAGACAGAGGGTTTCTGCTCCAGAGCTCGCACATATTCCTCCCTGCTGTCCAGGCCCAAAGCACCTCAGTACACAGGCCCTGGCCCCCGTGGTTTGGGAAGCTCCAGCCTGTCATTTCCCGCAGCACCCAGCTCTCTCCATGTCCGTGTTTGTTCACAACGAACACATCTCCGCCTGTTGAGCTAGGGAAACAGCAAAGACCTGGCACCAAGGAGGCCCCAGCTTCTCCCGCAGTTCCTGCCCTGTGCAAGGAGGGAGCTGAAGCCCTCGGTTACCTCTGCGGTTTCAGCGCAGACGGAGCGGCGCTCGGCTGGGGCTCGGCCAGCCCCAGCTCCTAGAAGCAGTATCACCACCCCGCAAAGCAGGGGCAAGGAAACGGCCCATGGCTCGGACTCACCGTGTGCCTGCTCGGAGCCCCGGCGCCGCAGCGAGAGCCTCCCGCCGCTGCGAGGGGTGCTGTCCCTGCGCCTGCTGTCCCTGCGCCGCGGCGCCGGCTCCTGCCTTGGTGCCGCCGACCAGCTCCTCCCCTGCCAACCAGTGGCTGTGCCACCCGGGGAGGGCGGTTTGTCACCTGCTGCTCCGCCGCACTCACGGATGCAAACAGCCCTGCGGAGAAAAGCGTTTCTTTTTCTCTATCCGTTCCAAATCCTAGTGAAAATCATCCTCACGAAGATGAGACTGACCTGGAACGCCCGCCGCATTAACGGCCTTTCACCTCTGCTCTCCGTTCCGCTTCACTTTCCTAATGCAAAGGGAAGATAAAAGTCCCATGATTGAACAGCCTAACTCCAGTGCTGTGGGACAGCTAGGACCACTGGTCATTTTAAGCCCCAAAATTTCATGTGTGCTTTAAAATAAGGCCAACCCCCACCATAAAAATTTATATCAAAGCTGGAACAAGACAGAAGTAATTATTTCTGACACTTGAAACCGTGCAAAAGCTTTTCAAAAATATCATAACCAAGTTAATCCCTTCTTTCCAATATACAAAAGGAGACAAATTTCTCTGCGCTTTCTAAATTAAAATCAGTTTATTTTCAGCATTTGTAATACAAAATAACAGAATTTTTAAACTATCACAAGTATGCTTTTCACAAGGGGCTTACTAGAAAGTGATTCTATAAAGTATCCTTGAAATCTAGTCATGCAAAATAGAAAATACAGAAAATGAAGAAGTCGGAGCTGCTGACACTTCTCCATTTGATTTTCAGATGCAAAATCATTTTCTTGGGAAAAGTTACAGCAGCCCTTGACGCTTCAAGTCTTCATAGGTCTTTTTATTCACCACATTCCCACTGGAATCCTCATATTCCTCCTAAAATGGAATGAACAGTTTAGAGGTATCAGCCCCAGACTGGTTCAGGTTATACCACGGCATTTGAATTTCAGCTCCAGCAACTTCTCCTCAGCATGACCTCCCACCAAGAAGCCACCTGTATTCAAGTATACAGTAGATTACCAGCGGGCTGCACAAAAGGAGCTTCATCCTGCCAGTTAAGGGGGGTTACGAGGGCATGAAGCACTTTTACACTTCTGTACCCACCACGGTTTATCCAGGCTCAGAATAGTTAAATGTGCAGGCTACATTTGTCACTGCACTCCAGAGCTGTCTGTTACCCTGTCCCCTGCAGGACCTTTTGAGTCAAAAGTTTAAGAAGAGGCACTAGTGGAAGTGAACATCCTTCTCAATAAACAGGTCCTCTTCCTCCTCATGGGACACACAGAACTGATATAATAGAGCAAAGTAAAGACACCTAAGAGACAAAGGGCTCAACTTGCCCTCTTAGAACTACTTTGCAGGGCAGCAGAGGAAGCCCTTTTCAACCACCACCACTAAGAGGAGCTGTGCAACCAGCAGTGCAGGTTTCTGCTTTGCTCTCCACTTCCCAAGTGCATGAAACTAGAAACATCTAAATGCTTCTAAAAACATCTCACCTCTGTATCTGGCTGCCATCTCTCTGAAGCTTTCTGCTGTTTCAGCTTTGCCCACACTGCAAATACAAAGTCATACAGAATCTGAATGCCATTTCCCTTGAAAAACTAGCTTTTAATCTGGAGAAACACACACAACGTTATTTTTTAAATATTCCTCATCACTTCAGCAATCTGGGAATGTATCTACTATCCATCACCCCTCTGTCCAGGGTTTAGCAATGCTGCCTGGTGAAATTCTGGCACAGAATTAAAACAAACAAGGCTTTAAAGTGAACATTCAGGATGGGACAGAAAAACAAAACAAAGATGCAAAAACAGTGCTTCAGAGACTCAGCTCCAAAGGAAGTAAGCTGACAATAGCTTGTTTGGGAAATTGAGATTTTGCCTGCACGGCTTCTTCCCGGCAAGAATTGGTTTCTCTCTAGGAACCATAACGTATCTGTTAGCCTAAGGGAGGCAGGTTCAAAAGACAGTATCTGCAGGGGTACCCTCAAGATCATAGAATCATAGAATCATAGAATGCTTAGGGTTGGAAGGGACCTCTAGAGATCATCTAGTCCAACCCCCTGCACACGCAGGGTCACCTAGAGCACGTGGCACAGGACTGCGTCCAAGCGGGTTTTGAAGATCTCCAGAGAAGGAGACTCCACAACCTCTCTGGGCAGCCTGTTCCAGTGCTCTGGCACCCTCACTGTTAAGAAACCAGGATAGACTGGCTGTGTCAAATCAGAATCACTACAAGTCCTAGGTACTGTAGGCTTCAAAATTCTCCCTATAGGCTCGACCTTTTCTGAAGGTTTTTCCAGCTTACCCAGGAAGAGAGATGGTGACGGACACACCAAATAAGTTGTAGACACTGGGGAACAATGCAGACACCCTTTGCCTGAAGAAATCCTGTCCTATTACACTTGGCTGAGATTCCACACATGAAACATCACAGACAAAATACTTTGCAGTGAATAAGCATTGCTAACAGTTCTAAGAAACATCTGCTCATACAGGTATCCAAGGAGAAATAAGCCACTCCCTTGAAAAAGCAGGAAGAGATTATCTAAGAAAGGGTCATGCCCCACACACCCTGTTTCTTACACTCTTTTATCTAGTTAGTCTCTGGTCATGGAAGGAAAATCAAGTTTTGGCCAGAGCTCAAATGGCCATTTTTATGGCACACGTTCCCTGTTCTGTGCAAACAAATGCTTCAACTGCTTACGTGAGACAGCATCCTCAATCTGTGTGACATTGGCAAAGTGTGCAGTGTTGGGAATGCCCAGGCATCTCATTCCATGAGCGTGGCGCCATTCCTAAGAGATGAGGAAAGAGATCAGTATTGTGAGAGGGAAGACCACTTCATCCACAGTGTGAGCAACTAACCTAATGTATGAAAATCTGGACAGGATGCAAAATACAGGATCAAAATACAAATCTACCGGTCCTAAAAAGTTCTATAGAAATAAAAATACAAAATATATATTTTTCTATATTTTAGACAGCAACAATACCCGGGCAGACAGTGGGTGTCCTGTACCAATCCCAGACATTGGAACCAGAGCTCAGACAAGAGGGGACCCCACAGGACCTGGCAGAAGAGATCTTAGCAGGATCATATACACAGTTCCAATAGCAGGGCCCTGTATCATCAGCCCACACCCACATTTTCAAACAGAGCTAGAAGTGCCACTCAGACACTTGGGTTTATTGGTTACTTTCTACCAAGACTATTTGAAAGCTGTAGTGATGCTTGTGTAGCAAAGGTCACTTACTGCAAAGTGACGCTGGAAGGCCTTGGGACCCCGGTACGTGTAGTTACCACAGATCTCGCAATTGTAGTTGATGTTCAAACCATGTAATTTATACAACCAGTAAGGAATTGGCTGTCAACGAGAAAGGAACACAGATTATACCAACTGGCAAAACAGGTTCAAATTGAAAAGCAGCCTGGATTTGGTGAAATATCCTCCCACTTCTTCAATGCAGTCCACCTCAGTTACCTTGCCATCCCAACCAAGAGGCAAATTTTTAGGATTATAAATTATTTCGTTTTCTTCGTCTTCACTCTCACTCTCGCTGATCTGCTCTTCCTCCTCCTCCTCTCTCTCTTCTCCTGTCCGTGCTTGCTTACGCTGCACGTTCTCATGAGTAAGGTGTCTCTGTTCCTAGAACACAGGAAAAGAGAAGGAAATGTTCACAAAACAGATAGCAGCAAAAACAAGCGCAAACTCTTGCAGCACAAAACACTTCCTCAATGTATAGAGGACAGAAATGAAAACACGGTTTGAAAGAGAGAGCTCTCTTTTTCAGTTAGTCCAACAATCTAAGAGATTTTAGTACAATATTTCATATTTCAAGAGAATAAAAGAAAAAAAAGGCTTCTCCAACTGGAACTGTAGCCTTCATATCTGGAACTGTGATAAACACAAAAGCTTTCTGAATAATTAGCTATTAGAAACATAACTTTAAGGCAACAGATTCTATTTACTAATGGGAAAAACAAACAAACAAAACTATCTGTTAATATGAGCTCTTGAACATTATGAGTCTGGATGTTGATATCTCTCTTCTACATACATAAGAAAGCAGCAGACAGAGATGACCTTCCAGTCACTACTCAACAGTTCTGTAGCTCAAAGGAAAATATAAATCCTTACCCCAAGCACTTCTACATATTCATATATCTGAGCTTCCAGGAATGCAAGATCTTTATTTCTTTCAGTATCTCTGAAAATAGATATGGAAAATTTATGAAATCCATTCCAGAACTGCAAACACCATGTGCACACTGGCCCCTTAAGGACACATTTGACTTGCAGATAGAAGAAGAAAATGAAACAAACAAACAAACAAAAAACCAGAAACGAATACCAAACAGCTCGTATAAAAGAAACTGCACACACACAGGCCATTCGACTCAAATATCTTCTATTTGGCTCAGGAATCATTTGACCCAACATGAAAGGCTTTTTATGCCCCAGGAATGTCTCTGTCGTAACTGTAAGAAGTGATGTTTATGGAATAACTTCTCATCCAAGTGAAGGGAACAACTGCAACCTGAGAATGGCCTTAAAGAACTCACCTTTTGCTTCCTTTTGTCTTTGGATTCTTGGCAAACAAGGAAGGATCAAGTGCCTCCAGGGATTTGCCTTTAGTGCTAAAAAGTCTCTGAGCACGAAAACCACCGAGAACCATTCAGGATGTTTCCTGTTAAGGAGTCTGACTCGATAAAGTTTTTACAAATGTCTCTATCTTCATTCTTTAGGCCAAATTCTTCTACAGAAGACACTCGAGCACATAGCATGCTTCAAGGCACAGCACCCCCGTGATTAGTCTTTAGTGGTTTATCTTTTGAAACATCAAGAAAATAATTCTTGTATATCAGAGAAGACAGAATTAATATGCCATAAAAGGAATGTATGACAGAAAGGAAAAAAAAAATCAAAAACTGGAAAAGATCTATAAAACGACTGTATCTTACCCGCCACATTTCAGACCCAGAGCCAATAAAGCTGATTTTAACCTATCCAGTCCCAGGGAGGCCAATTCCTGTTTAGTTAAAAAAAAAAAATCTCAGTAAGGAGGAGCTATTAGGCAAATACAATGTGGATTCACATTAGTTTTAAGTCATTAAAGGAAACTAGCAGTATTAACCAAGATGGACTCCTCCCTCTCACTGAATCACAGAATCACAGAATGCTGAAGGTTGGATGGGACCTCTAGAGGTCATCCAGTCCAACCCCCTGCACACGCAGGGTCACCTAGAGCACGTGGCACAGGACTGCGTCCAAGCGAGTTTGAAGATCTCCAGGGAAGGAGACTCCACAACCTCTCTGGGCAGCCTGTTCCAGTGCTCTGTCACCCTCACTGTGAAGAAATTTTTCCTTAAGTTCCTGTGGAACTTTTGATGCTTTGGTTTCTGGCCATTTTCTCTAGTTCTGTTGGTGGCCACCAGTGAAGAGGGGCCAGCACCATCTTCCTCGCTGCCTCCCTTGAGGTACTTCTAGACACTGCTCAGGTCCCCTCTCAGCCTTCTCTTCTCCAGCTGAACAGGCCCAGCTCCCTCAGCCTCTCCTCATAGGGCAGATGTTCCAGGCCCCTGATCATCCTCGTAGCCCTGCGCTGGACTCTCTCCAGCAGCTCCACATCCCTCTTGTACTGTGGAGCCCAGAACTGGACACAATACTCCAGAGTATCCACCTCACTTTGTGCACAAAACCAGGATTCAGCAGTGGCCTTTTCATCTCCTGACTCCCAGAGGGCTCCGTCACCCGCTGCTGCCCTGACCTTGGGGCTCTGAGTCACCTGGCCACGAGGAAGCGGAAAGTTCAGCCACAGGCCTCCAACTAGACTCTGCACCGCTGATCACCACCCTCTGAGCTCTGCCATCCGGCAGTTCCTAATCCACCTCACTGTCCACTCGTCTATCCCACATCTCCAGAGCTTGCCCAGACTGAAATGCAGTCTGTGACAACTCTACCTAGAGATTTCATGTTACACTCCCTTTACTGGAAGAAAGGAAGTCAGCTGCATAAGCCAAGTCTTATCTAGAGCATAGACCCAGAGATGCAATCCCAGCAATGAAAATTCTGGGGACACACAAAGTGGTTAAATTTCACCTGTCCAAAATTTAGCACCATGTGCAGAGTACTAAAAACTCACCTCCCAAGAGGAAAACGCGGAGAGATCCAGGTGGGCTCCAGCATGAGTGAGCGCACTGCTGGTCTCTTTCTGCAAGAAAAGCCACACACAAGATCTCTGAGATATGATGCAACACTTGAACAATATAATACTCTAAAAAAAAGGCAATTCAATTTGTAAAGAGAAAAAAAGTCTACCACTAAACTGAGCAATGGAATAACAGAAAGGATTCCAAAAGCAGCAGATCTTAACGGACATATAAATCGGTATCAAAGTGCATCTTTGTGATGTGCAGCTACACACTGCGTACACCTTGCTGCATCACTCTGTGACGACTTTGCACATGGTTCATAGAAAACACATCACAAACAGAAGCGTTCACACGTGCTCAGCTGCTGCTCACCGGCCAGCCAGGGAACGTTCCATTTTCCCACTTCTTCTCAAACTCGGTCTGAATTTTCCCAAAAAGCTCATTCTGGTCCAGTAATGGTTTCACCCGATCAGTGTACTCCTGCAGGTACTCAAGAAGCATTTCAAGGTACCTAACGGGGTAATCATGAGCACAAGGTCAAAATCTAACATTTTTCTCTAATCACGTCTTTGGAGCACAATTGCATCTGCTACACCAAAGAGAGGACATGAAGGTTTTGACAGTTTTTAACATGTTTTCCAGATACAACAGCGGCATGGCAAAAACGCTCACCTCTTATATTCAGCATTTTTTCTCTCTTTGGGAATATCGAAGAGTTGGTCAAATGTGGATAAGTAAGTGATATAATCAAGTTTCTAAAAATAAAAAAATCAGTCAGACCTTATACACAGGAAGCCAAATTAACATCCAGTTTTTATTTACCATGCCAGAAAAAAGAAAAAACCACCAGCTCATGCCTTTATTCTGGAGCACATATGGCCAGTGGTCTCTGGGTGCTTTCTAATACATCGCCTCAGACACCAGTCTAGTACCAGACAGTCTTTTTATAAGGCCATCACTGATACCAATGTCAGAGAGAAAACATAAATTAAAGGTAATGAAAGAAGAACCACAAAAAGGCATTCAGAATTCAAATGCTGTCAAACTGTATGTGCCACAAAGTGACTTTGAAATAGCGGTTTGGAAATAAACTACTCAATGTAAAACAAATAATAACCCAAAACCAAACTGCACAGCTCTGAGTGCTGCGTAATGGAACCCTATTATGTCCCCAAACTCATGCAGCCACCTACCTCTGAGGATTTCAGATTAATGTATTTGAGATAACAATCATGCAGATCTAGGTATCGTCCATATCCTTCCTCATCCGTGAACTCCACTAGATCTGTGCAAGAGATTGTGAAGAGCTTTATTATGAGCTTAAGCTTCCTGACTCATAAGACACAAGCACCAGAATCTGAAAAGGATTAATTATGGATTCATTTATGCTTAAGCAAGATACCTGGCTGCTTTGCTATGTAAACACACCACAACACTTCCCAAGAGAGGCAGCACTACTGTTGAATATTCCGGGGTGGAATTCCACCGGTTTGGGAGAAATTAAATTAAATAAGAACAATTTTTGAAGTACTTTGGTAAAAGGGAGGTAGAATTCTGAAACACACAAGACAGCCCACATAGCTTATTAAATAACTCCTCTCAAGCAAACACATTTTAACCCAAATTAGCCCCAGAACGGGACTTACTTTGCGCCTCTTCACTTGGGTTGTCTCTGGCCTTCAGCAGTTCCTCAAACTCCACTGACATGGGAACACAGATCTTCAAAAACAGGCAGAAGTTTCAGAAAAAAAAGATTACTTCAACCAACTTCCCAGGACAAGCAGTACGAAATTACAGTAGGAATCTAATAACTGAAAAGCCATCCAGCACAGTGTAAGATCACCTTGTTCCAAATCCTAGTTTCTTATAACATGGAGAAAAAAAAACAACAATTCCAGTTCCCTGCTGATTCTGGGCACTTGGTTCCTCTCGGATAATGTTCACTTGTGCCCTGGGCAACCCTACCTGCACATATACATGCTGTGTAGCTGAACTTGTTGCATAGCAGAGGGCAACTTTTCTTGCTACAGAGAGCAAAAAAGCTTCTGAGGTGCCCGCAGTCCCATGTGGAGATAGAAGAAACAGAGCAGCAGAACACAGAGAAATTTCTTTGCTGTCCCAAATCTACTAGAATTAGCTCTCAGTACAGAAGAGAGGTCCTGAGCTCACCAACAGCAGTAAGGTCAGAATTCCCTCACCACTGCTTTTGTGCAAAGAAGAAAAGATGCTACCTGTTAATCCAATGCTGGGCAGTAAGGGAACGACCTGGCCGAACACTGACTTGCGGTGACGAAGTCCAGCAGACCACAGGTCACCTGCTCTTACAAGGCAGACAACTACCTACCTCATTCGGGTGCTTCCGATGAAATTCTTTAATCTGTTTTAGTCTGTTGTAGAATTCTGCAAATTCGTTCGGCCCCGAAATGGCACTGAGCTCTTCTTTTCGCAAGCTGTGAGTTCACGAAACAGAGATCACAAAGGGAAGGCCAAGCCCGTGGCTACCTCCGCACCGCTACAACCCTGCCCCGTGCCCAGCGCTGCCCTTTGGTTGCCCCAGGCCTGGCACAAAGCACCGGGCACCCAGGAAGCCGCACATGGAGCTCGCAGGCTCCTGCTTTGAGACTCGAGGCCTGTCTCCTGCTGGGGGTTTCCTGAGGGACACTGAGGGCAGCTCGAGGGCCTCCTGAACGCGAGTGACCGTGGGCGGGTGACAAACTGCGTGTGGGGGCGGCGCCCCGCGCACTCACCCGTCCTTGTCGTCGTAGAGGTCCCGCAGGTTGCCGCTCACCTCCATGTAGCGCTGCGGGACACAGCGGGCGCCGTGAGGCGCGGCCGGCCCCCCCGCACCTCCCCCGCGCCCCGCGGCCCGAACTCACGTCCTGCATCGACCGTG